ATTTTTTATGAAGATGCGTTGGAACCTCGGCACGCCCTAACACAAGTCCATTATTCTGGCACTGCGACTGAGTGAGTCTGGGATCATCGTATGACAACGGCCTTGGAAAAGAAAAGTCTGTATCAACTCCTACCGGAGACGTAGGAGTTGGAGGAACTGCCCCCTGCACATCTGAAGGAGCAACTCGTTCTCGCCTCTGAAACAATGAATCAAACTGCAGGATATATATGGTCAGTTATTGATTAATATATTAACAAACTAATCATCAATATATACCATATCAAAGAAAGAGCTAGTGGAAAAAATTTGTCTTGAGTAACTTAAGCCAGTCAATGTGCTCAACATATATAATCAGTTGAGCACCTTGTAAAAAAAAGATGCAGAACTACCACACTATTGACAGAAGCGAATTTGCTATGAGATCCTAATCTGATTAGGTTGAAACTTACATGTATATATAAAACATTCATTTATAAGAAGAGAAAATGGCTATATTAGGCTCAAGGCCTTAAAAGAACTGGTGTTAGTGTCAGATTCACACACATCAGTGAAATGTCACCAGGAACAGTAATAGGAAAAACATACACAAAGGTACCTTGTTCCTTTGGCATAAGAACAGTCTTTCGCATGTAACAGGTCTTCTAGAGTTTGCAATCAAAATCTCGTCAAACAATACAAATCAAGTTTCAATTACTTTAAGCAAAAATCAACCAAAGAACTTTATGGATCTATCGATGTTGTCATTTTTACCATTTAGTTAAACAAACATCTTGACTGGATGGATGTATCTGAGAAACCAAGGTCACACTGGAGAAGTCAATATGAGAAACAAGCATAGTAGGCCATCAAAGGCAGATTATCAAGAGAATACAAACAGAAGAAATTTTAGCCATGTGTCTCTTAGATTTTTACTGATACCAATTGTACCCCAGATACCTACATAAATCACTTCTTTAGCTACTTGCAGTCAATTGCTTCCGAGTCTTTAGCATGATTGGACCAATGGAAAGATGAAAACAAATACTAGTACTCTTCTAAGTTCTCGAATTTGTACTACATCAGAGAAATGCCATCTTCTGCAAGATCTTCACCCAGTTGCAGCTCATTCATGGAAGATTATTCATAAAAACAACCAGTAATCTTTCATGAGGCACAGATGTGAGCTAGTAGGGAATTCAAGACTTGATGATTGTGTTCCTATTACCAAAATTAATAATCAGAATTGAACCAAAGATAAACAGAATTATTAAGGAATTAAAAAAAAAGATACCACATCTTCAAATAGCTGAGTCAAGTTATCCCCATCCAAACGGCAACAGACACAGCCCATGTCTCCACTATCCTTCCTTGTTCAGTGTTACACTACAGCAAAATTCTGCACAAAAGTATGACGATTATTGGAATCTAACAGATTAAGACGGTTCCTTATTTCCTGTTTCAACAATAAGACAAACCCAAATCTTGGAAAAACAGAGTAACTCTGCTCACATAAAACAAAAGTTCTTTTGGCAAAAAAAAAACCGTTCCAAAAAGCAAAACATCAATGAGAGTAATGGAACCTTTAACGAAGACATCCGAGAGACGGACTTCTATTTACCATCGTTAAAATAAATGCATCCAAGTCTGGAACAAGAATATAGATCTAAGGGAAGAAGGTGAAAGTTTCCGACTCCGATTCGTAAAGAAATCTTTGATTCGCCAATCAATCCAAACAGAGAAGGGAGCTTTCTTCCTTGCAAAGCAAACCCGTAAGTTCCAATCGCGAGAGAAAGAAAGAAAGAAACTCTAAGAACTGGAAATCCCTAAGAAATCAGCCACCGCATCAATCAAGAAACCCAGTCGAAAAGCGAAAGCAGACCACAAGACGAACATCTTCCGGGGATTCAGAGTGGAAACGGGGGCAAGCAATGTAAAAAAAAAAGGTGCTCATCAAAAACAGAGAAGGAAAGAAGAAGCGAGGGGCGTGGAATCGATGCGTGCCCAAAGAGCGAGACAGAGAGTGTGAGTGTGTTCGCGCGCGCGTCCACTTGCTCGAGAGTATTCCCTCCTACTCTTCCTCGGGCAGCATGAAACTTCTACCTGTTAAACTATGCAAACGTGTAGCGACAGGATTAACCTTTGACTTCTCAGGTATATATATATATATATATATATATATATATATATTGTTTTCACCAAATTAATGTGTCCTCTTATTAATTCCTGTAGTCGTGAATAGGTAGGCAAAAAATATAAGATTGATGAGCACTTCCATGATTAGGGCATTTGTGCCAAAGAGAATTCTCGGGCCAAATATTTTCTTTTATGGTCATTTATGTACGTTTTTTACCTGAACGTTGACTACCGCATGCGGGAAAGCTAGTTGACCCTAAGTTGACTTGGACAGGCATGAAGAGGAGACCGGTCTTGCGAGGGCCACATGCACTCTCCATTCTTGACGTGATCTGCCATCAGTTCGAGACTCAAGGATTAGCCATCACAGACTCCGGAGGCAATCCAACAACATAATTGGGCATTGGGTTCAATTAATTGGCTGCCTTAAGGCCGTGGCTTTTGCTGCTTTGCTTGTTCTCTTTCTTTTGGATGACATGCTGATTCCTGCAGAATATTAAGCCTTGACCGCACAACAGACAGACAAGTGTTAGTGGTCGCAGTACGCTGATGGGGAACTCTTTTGCATAAACAGTAAGAATAATAGGGAATTCGATCTTACTTTATAGTCATTGCCTTCAGCGAGTGGCAAGTTGGATTCGTCATCTTAAACTATCACCACTATCACCAACTTGCACCATTTGCTGCTTCGTACTCCCAAAACTCATCCACATCTTGGCCTGCCAAAATCAACAAAGCAGACTTATGTTAGTTCCGAGAGAATGTCGATTATTTAGTGCATGAGGTTCTTGTCAACAAGGAGTACGGGAGGATGTGAGCACAAAGGTTTTATGGCCTAAAGGAGCTTTGTCCTCCTATCTTAATTAAATAAACTATTTTATAACATTTTTTGACCGTTCTACAAATTCTTTTTATACTTTTTCTATTTACAAATTCTGTAACTTCTATTCACAATATGATAAATTGATAAGCTAAGTTAGTTATTAAATATTTATGGTTTCACATTTTGCCTTCAACAACACTAAGTTGTTAATTGATTCAAAAACTGCTAGATCCAGTAACCTTTAATTACCTTCACTTTCTTGCAAAAGTGGTATCTGGTGATTAGCAAGCAAGATGAAGAACATCCTTTCCCCCCTCCCCCCCCTCTTTTTTTTTCAGATTAAAGCGAGCACTCAGTTTCCAAAGGACAATGATGTGATGTCAGTATATGATTCATAGATTCCAAGCATTACAAAATTTCAAGCATTTCAGGATGATCGATTACATGTTTCGAACTGGTTTATGTTTCTCATTAGCTGTTTCTTCCCGCTGATGTCCTTTTATGACCCTTAAAATCTTGATTTCAAGCAACATGCATGTACATCACATAATCACATGATGCAAGAAGTTTCAGGATCGGCTATAGAACATAAGCATCATCAGAGAATTGTAATATGTAGATTCACCTTGTAGCCTCGAACTAATAAGATCATGTGTACAACAGAACCTATAGGTAACTTCCATCGTGAATCTTCGTGGGGATGTACTCTGATAAGAACGACAGCGAGTTGAAAGATAATGATTCGATCTCAAATTTTACTCCAGTTTGTAGCATGACTTCCAGCTCCATCCTGCCACCACAAATTTATTTTAGATGAGTTTGTATCAGGATGAAAACTGCAAATTCGGCGATCAATTCTCTAAATGTAATCTAAATATTAACACGAGCAAGACAGGTTTCAGTGCAGGTGGACAATGATGGCCAGACATTTGCCAATAGTATGCTGGTTCAGCAGTTATGAAATCTGCATGTGATTGATAATCTGATCTTTTGAATGGAAAAAAATCAATTTGGTCTAATAACAGGTAATAAGAACCACCAAAATCATAGAAATGTGACTTAAAAGGATGACAATAATAAACCTCCATTTTGGTGCTTCCTTTTGCAAATAGCATCTCAGCAGCATTGCTTCAGCTTTCTTCTTATCTGCAACTCACAGTTTGGACCTTTTACAGGTATCTACATTGAAGTAAACAAATGAAAGAGCAAGAGAGTATATTCAGAATGACCATCAGATGTCAGCTCGAGAAGACAGCGATCTGGAAGATGGTACTTCTGCAAATCTGAATGGAAGACTCCGAGCCAACTTATCTCAGGTACACGCAACAAATTGGCATCATACGCCATTTGCTTTAAGAAACAAAAGAATGATCATAAGCATTTAGATCAAGTGAAAGTATCAGTTAAGACAGTGTAGACTAGGAGCACTACGATAAGCTACATTTTCTCCATGTGAGTGCAAAATGTAAAAATCAACAAAATTTTCCATTTCCCATTGTATTATGAAATACAATTTTCAATCGAAAGGATATGTTTGGTTCCGTTTACATCCCTAATAATAAAAGTAACATACTTGCTCTAACCTTTACATACATAAAACAATGAATGTGGTCATACCATGGAACCAAACCTATAGACCATCAGGATGTCAAAGCCATAAGGATCACAATCTACCAAGCAATACACTGGCAAATGCAGATGTTGTACAAGAAGGCACAAGAACCTGTGGCAAACATATAGTGGGTCAAAGAGCAGGTATTTGCATGCCAATGGCTTCTAAAGAAGGTATGCAAGTACAATCTAAAGCAGAAAACTCTGTGCATGCCTTCTTGTAGGGACATCCGGATAGCCTCTTCCCTGATCGAAGTTAAAAACATGAATCACTAATAATACATTGAGACATATAGTAAAGCTAAAACCAAGTACTGCTCACTGTAATGACAATGCAATGATTCCTCTCACAAAATCTATCATTTGCTAACCGCTGAAACACTGAAATAGGTAAAACAAAATAGCAAATGAGAACAGCTTTTTAAGATGAAAAGAAAAATAGTTGTCAGGGAAAGTCTTGCCTGATTCCTTCTCTACAACAATAATAAATCTGGCAACACTGACAATATCTAAAAAGATAAAAAGAAACATTTAAACCCATGCTCTACGAGCACCAATTAAAAAAACTTACTGGATGAATCCAGAAGATGATTAGGCTCCAGATATGACAAGGAGGTTTATCAGCTGATTAGTAAAAGAAACAACACTAAAAATAAATAAATATTTTAACATTACAAACATTGTCCAACATTTCAATAATCATTTGGAAGCTTTTTTTCCTAAAAATATAATCCTGAAAACCATAATTGAACAGACAACATTTAGAATGACCACCAACACAAATAAAAACAAACAATCAGCATTTTTTATGATGGCTTAATCTGTGTAAAATTAGCAAAAATGGTAGTGGGGAATATGCTACAGCTTAAATGAGAAAATTTAAACAAAACTGGTTGCCTTTTTTTTCTATCATTTTGCTTGCAATTCACCCTATTTTGAACCTCCGGACAAGGCTCATAGGCCTGTTTGTTCACACTTCCCAAAGCACACACCGTAGCCAATAAAATGTGACAAACCAAACAAGTAGAAGTGAAAATGAAAACTGCATTCTAGTATGCCTCAACAACACCTCGAACTGTATCGAGAAATCTCAAGTTATTCATATGGGGTCTATCATTAACATAATAGAGTACAAAAAAACATTTCAAGAGACTCCAGATTAGCTGATCAGTATCTAATCCTTACGAAAACATTAAGACACAGGTCAAGTTCATATGAATTAGAGAAATCAAATTGTTCAACCATCAATCTGATGACTTCCATTTACCTACTACTTCTTCAAGACACACAGGAATAGGATAGACCTGCAACAAAGTCCAATTCTAATAAATTCATCAAGGGAGTAAACTTCATATTTGGATATGGAATAGAACTTACAGTGCTGGGGCTATTTATGCAATAAATCTTCCTACCAGCTTCTAGAAATCTCAACCAACCCATCACCAATCTGAGAAGAACAAAATGATTCTCAAAAAGAGCAGGCATGTTTGTTTTTTAAACCAAAAATAAGCTTAAGGTAAAGTAAGCTTTAACACAAACTTATATTTCACTAGAATGATAAGCGTAAATGGGCAACAGGATAATATCAAGAACTTCATTTACAGTGATAGAAAACTAAGCAGGATGGTAACATATGGATGTTTGTGAGATTGATCATAGCTCTATGAACTAAGTGTAACAGAACTTGCAGACATCAAAACTATAGGGTAATACAAAGAAAGAATCAACATGACAGTGACCAGTCCAAGTATCAGGATCTACCCTCTCCCTACAGGCACCTGCAAGAATAACAAGCATCAATTTAATTTGGAGCAATGCAGCAAACTGTAGAAGCAATCTAAAGATTATGAATGATGATTTTATGCTTCTATCGCAGAGTCTTCAGCTAAACAAAAAAGTTAAATTCACATGCAACTGATTTTGTCTTTATGTCCAGTAATACTATCGTCATATGAAGCAATTTCTTTCTTCAGTTTCTTTAGTTTTTTAATGTAGCAATAAGTTAAATTTGCACACTGCAAAAGCAACTGAGTCAAAGGTAGCAGTCAATGAATTAGATAATCCCCACAAGTAGCTATTGTGAGTTGATAGCTACTAAAAAGCAGGTGCTACGATTGAAAGGTTGGCTGATTTCTTAGAAAAATCATTAAATACTGCCACACTTCTCATTTAAAAGCCTAATTGAATCATTCTAATTTTCTGTTTAATGTGAAATATATTCTTAAATAGGGCAAGCAAAGGACACATATGGAACAAAGAACAATGGACTAAAAGAAGTAGAATATGTGCAGCTAGTGTAGCTGGCGGTACTGGTCCAACAGCAGCACAGAAAACTAACAGAAGAAATAGAAGGCTAAAATGAAGGCACAAAATTGCATCAGGAAATGAATCAAATCAACAGAAGCTAACCAGCAAGAAGCAAAAAGCAATGGCAAAAGAGTAAATTATCCTAAACCTTAAAAATAAGTTCATAGAGTATCATACCACATTGAGATGCTGACGGCTGCACTTTAAGAGAATGCAAATGTTGTTGATTGCCCGATCAACAACTGCTTGCTCTGCAATATAACAATATTTAAATGCAAAAGTATGCGTTTTGTGTAGCAGGTGCTCACCAACTTATTATGCATATATAAACCAATATTTGATTCCTCATATAAAATCTGGAAAGCGAAAAAAAAAAAAGAACACTGTATACCTTGTTGAGGATATCAACATTCAGCTCACAACCAAAATCAATCTACTTCCATGAGGACAGCATGATCACAAGAGAAAAAGGGTTTTAACCGCTGTATCGAGTCGTACCGCCCGGTACGGGCGGTACGTACCGGTCCGACAGGTTTTCGGTACGCGAATCGACGGTTACCGTTCCGAGGTACTGTAGCACTGTAGCACTGTTACCGTTCCGAGGTACTGTAGCACTGTAGTACTCGGTACACCTGGGTGTACCGCTCGGTATATCGTACCGTACCGATACCGAGCCCAGGTCGAAATACTGGTACGGTACAGTATTGCGAACCTTGATTTTAACTAATCAAGCAGCAGAATATGTTCATGTTTTGAACTTACAGGGTAAATGAGTGGCCCTGATCTTTCAACAAATAATGTTGATGGGAGACATGATAAATATGAACTAGTATTATAAAGTTGGCACTTTGCTGTGACATGGAAGTAGACATTGCATTGTCATTTCAGAAAATGTGGGAATAATTGAAGAAAATTTTGGATCAGCAAATTCAAGAATTTTCTTAGCATCCAATATGGGTCACACCACCTTCAATGTGAAAATATTTTAAAAATCATGATGTAAAATCAAGCCTATGTTTACAAGTTGTCATACTTTATGTTCACAACTCTGTATAGCTGTAGTAGATATGAGAATTCCTTTCTGTAGCAGATATGAGAATTCCTTTAAGATTTTGCCAATTGATTCTTCAACACACCAAAGATATTCCCTGTGCCTTTAACCAAATAAATCATGTAAGTCTAAGCTATGAATATGCCCATCTATTAAAGTCGATGATATGCATGCCACCATCAATCAATTATTAAATTCGTTTCACAAAGTTCATCATGTTGAAGTACTTGTGTTACGTTAACCAATGTTGAGGTCTACTGATCAAGCACTTTCATGGATCACATTTTAAGTGGAAAACCAGATGTGTCGAACACAACATAATTATGCAACAATTGGTAGAGTCATTCGAAAAATTGTAGTAATGCTAGAACAGAGTACTTTAAGTTATATGTAATACAAGACAAGTAATAACAGTATTGTATGCAACTCGCTGTTGCTACCGAAGTAGCAGTTTCCTAAGTTCAAATGTCTGATAAATGAAGTTGCCTTGAAGATGTGATCTGTAGTCTTCTCCATTAATGCAATAAAATAAACGGATGTTTCTGAATAAAAAAAGCTGTTAAAATGAAATGAATAATTAAACATTGTATCTATTTTTAAGTCTGATATCTTTTGTAAGGAAGTTAAGAGGAAAATTCTACCCAAGAAAAGAGCGGGGTGCATGTAGTAGATGTCTCTCTTCGATCCATGTTTGTTTTCTTGTAAAAGTTGCTGTATTATTAGCAGCACCCTAAACAAGACAACTAAACAAAAGGGAACCAGAGAATCAATTAATATAATACAGAATGTTTGACCTTTGCTAAGATTATAAATAAAGAAAGAAAGAAGAAGAATTAAAAGAACATAAAACGTGCAGAATTTTGTACACCTACGTGAGATGACAAAAACCAATTGCAGTGGAAGGAATAGACATGAAAGATACTTTACGCAATCTGTATGCATGACTTTCCCTCTCGACCGAGATTATTTCCTTGCCATTTGGTAAGTTGTCACCGCAAGTGCTGCAGTGCGAAAAAGTGTTGAAAGCATTATGCAGAAAGAGCAAGAGGGAGGAACAGAAGGTATGGAAATCAAATAATGGTTTGATAGAGAAAAACACAGGCTTACATTTTGCCACTGTTTCAAACGAATGAAAGTGACTGGAGGAAACTATGAGTAAATAAATTAATGTGATGTGCTATGACAATTAGGTGTACCACATCTGAACTGTTTATCAATTAATTCCGAGTCTTCATACAACTATTAATACGACAAGTTACCCTTTCTTGAATCGAGAATATCTCCATAAATCAACAAACGATATTGTGAAATTACTAGTTCTTAATCTTCGGTTCTGCCCCAAGAACAAGCCGGTTTGTCCCTGAAAAAGAATAGATTCCTAGACTACCCTAAAACAATCGCACCACCAGATAACTCTAGGTCGTTATTTAGTTATAATCTACACCAAAATTGTAATATGCGCAAAACCATAACAGCGAAGAACACCCACAAACTAGTTAAACTGAAATCTCGATAAAACCCATCGGAAATCGGGCAAGAATATGAAGCTATAACTTCAGGATGGACCGCAATAGGAGGTCGAATACAAACGATCCGCAGGGATGAGAGGATGACCAGTTTCCAGAAGGATCGTGGCAGTAGTTCCTGTACCGATCGAGGGCAACCGAAGGAGGTCGATCGTTGCTGAGATCCTCAACGAGAGACCGGACGAAACCTGCGGGGAGAGAGAGGCATCAGAAGCCGATCTAAAGTAGAACGAGGCAGAGAAGAGGAAGGATCACTCTCGCGATCGATCGACCTTTGATTCTTTGGAGCAGATCGGATGGGCTCGAACTCGAAACTCTGCCTCCCGCCATTCTCGTCGTTGCTTGCGCGAAAGAAGGTACAAATGCTGCCAATAAAAAGATCGGACGTGCTTGGGCGTCGATATCAATCCAACGGCCCACGTTCATCTTACTTCACCGGCTTGGAGAAATCTGGACCGTAGAATTTCAAATGAAAACCTTTTTGGGCCAACAAGATGGGCTGTGTCCTATGTTAGTTGGGTCCCAACTAAAGGCCGATCAACAATTTGATTAAAGATTAATAAGTGGAACGGTATTTATCTTTAAATTACATTATCTCTATTATCCTACAGAAAATAAACATATAAAATAAGACAATGTATCAAAGTGGTATTAGGTAGCTGGTAAAGACATTGGTAGCTTACCGTATGCATAGATAGACCTACAAAGATGGATTTCTAGTTTTCTAAATTTATAAATTTTGGAAGATTTAGAATTATTAAAAAGAACTAATGCCAATACATCTTTTTCGGTCAAAGGATCCTTTTGGCGAGATGAAAAGTGAATCAGATCCAATTATTATGCTGATCCCAATTGGATCAGATCAATCAATCATTGAAGAGCACATATACTCCATTGACTTTTGAGCTGTGCATGATTGTTCGAGGAGTGAAGTGGCAGCTTCTGCGGACATTTGTCCACCGAGCAGCTCCCGGTAGTGAAGCTATAGCTTTTAGCTGCTTCTCCCGTCTTCCTAAGCAAGGAGGAAGGCTGCATCAACCATTTACTACGATCATTGAGTATTGAACTAGCAGAGCAAGGCTCATCGAGCAGTTATTTACTAGATAAAACCTTCACCATTGCCAGGCATGTCTGCTTGTGGGAGAGGCACTGACCGGCTAATAGATTCCAGACACAGTTGCCATAAGAAATTGATGATGAACTCCCTTTGGGCAACAGTGACACATGCGCTAAGAAGGCGAGTAATCAGGCGCAGCAGATCTGCTGTTTCGACACGAACAACGCCATGGCGACCAAGTGCAGACCTTCGCAGCTTTCCCCTTTTTCTTTTGCCTCTTCGATGAAGAAGGCGAGAAGACGGAGACCCGCGGTCAGAGTCAAACCACCAGGACCCATAGGTACGGTGCCCCCGCGGGCGCAGCGAGAGCGAGAGGTGGATCCGCCGACGTGGCGTGGCCACGTCGTCGGGTCGGAAGGGGCCACGGCGTGCCCGGGTGCGCAAGACCGACCGTCGCAGCCTCGCGCGCCAAGACGAACGCGTGCCGTCGTCGCGCTCCACGTGGCGCCCACGCTCAGCCGCAGCGGCTGCTGAACATGCGCCACTTAAATGACTAAACTACCCCTCCATTGGGTGATCTGCTGCCCCCTCGGGGTCTCTCCGTCCCAATTCGTCGCTGTCATCCTCTGTAAATCCAATTCTTCGCTGTCGTCCTCCTCAAATTCGTATGTATCCAAGCTTGGATTTTTCTGGAGACGATAGTAATGGATGAAAAGCTATTGCGACTTGGTGGTAGGCGCTGTGAGGAAATTGACTTGTCTTCTCCGATCGAGTCCCATCAACTCCAAATCAGGGGTATATTGGTCATGCAAGTTGTATCGCCTCGAGGTTGACGCAATCGACTTGGTACATATTAGTCCCATGCTTGCTTACTGCGTCCGTCGCCTGCCTTCGTTCTACGGCTCGTACATTACCCATCCCTTCCCTTCTCTCCAGAGTTGCGCTCCCCGATGGCCTCCAAGGGCGAGAACAAGGGTGGTTCTTCCACGGCGGAGGAGGGGGAGGAGGTGGAGAGGTGCCCCGTGGAGGAGGTGGCGCTGGTGGTGCCGGAGACCGACGACCCATCGCTCCCGGTGATGACGTTCCGGGCCTGGTTCCTCGGCCTCACCTCCTGCTCCCTCCTCATCTTCCTGAACACCTTCTTCACGTACCGCACGCAGCCGCTCACCATCTCCGCCATCCTCATGCAGATCGCGGTTCTGCCCGCCGGCCGTTTCATGGCCTCCGTGTTGCCCGACAGGGAGGTCAAGGTGTTCCGGAACTGGGGGTTCCACCTCAACCCCGGGCCCTTCAACATCAAAGAGCACGTCATCATCACCATCTTCGCCAACTGCGGCGTGTCCATCGGCGGAGGGGATGCCTACTCCATCGGCGCCATCACGGTGATGAAGGCCTACTACAAGCAGAGCTTGAGCTTCCTCTGTGCGCTCATTATTGTGCTCACCACGCAGGTAAGGAAGAATGGCACGCTCCTCCTCCTTGTCTCACTCTTTCACCTTTTCATGTAGATTTCCCCATTTAATTTCCATATCAGACTTCATGATTTCCACTGTGCTTGCGTTTTTCATCTTCTGTTTCAATTTAATCGGAAATAAATGGAACATATAGACGCTTGCAAATTCTGCCTCTTGCTTCTTTCTTCTTTCTGTGAATTCGACCCCTTCTTTTCTGCAACATATCGTATTATGATCCCCATATTTGTATCTTCTAATATTCTGCAGCTTTCTTGCAAGCTTGTCCTGTGCTTCTCTCACCTCTAAGCTTTTATTTTCTCACTTATCCGAGGACTGTATCGAAGTCTTTTCTTCTCTCTTAAATGCTTGCTTTTGGTTGGAAAATCAAAAGATTCCTCCTGCATGATGAGAGCCATAAATTTTCTTGGTCCCTCTTTGTGTACCTTTGTTTTCTAGTGTTTGTTGGAGCGCTGAGCTTTTACTTGAAGAATCTTTCTCAGACTGTAATTTTCTTCATCCGTAGCCGTATAATCTGCAGATGTGAGGTCTGATGGATTACTGTCCAATACTTCAAAACGATCTATTTAAGAAGAAAAGAAAAATTTTGCGGTGAAATAGCAAGAGAACTCAGTCATTTATTCTGTTTTCTCATTTAGATATTTGTTGGTACTTGAAACCAAATCTATGTGGTTCTTACTTCATCAGATACTGGGTTATGGATGGGCTGGGATGATGAGAAGGTATTTGGTGGATCCCGCTGAGATGTGGTGGCCTTCCAATCTTGCTCAGGTCTCCCTCTTCAGGTCAGATTCCTATCAATCTAATCCTTTCTTCCAGCTCACTATGCTTTGTCCCATGGTTCCATGCTCCTTTTCCCATTGGCGAAAAGGAGGAGAATAGAACTTGTTCATCTGATGGTATCCGAACCATCTCGATCACAATCATCTAATTGGAAGACTTGTTAACTACGTTAATGTAGAGAACCTTGCAACGCACAATTATTCTCATTAACTAATGACAACTGAGGCCATGAAAGCTCACCATTCAAAACTTACTGCAGAGCTTTGCATGAGAAGGACTCGAGATCCAAAGGGCCAAGCAGGATGCAGTTCTTCCTCGTGTTCTTCGTAGCAAGCTTTGCCTACTACACATTGCCGGGCTATCTCCTGCCCATACTGACCTTCTTCTCATGGGTGTGCTGGACATGGCCTCGAAGTATTACTGCGCAGCAGATCGGATCAGCTTATCATGGACTTGGAGTTGGTGCATTCACGCTTGATTGGGCGGGGATCTCTGCGTACCATGGGAGTCCTCTGGTGACGCCATGGTTCTCCATCCTCAATGTGGCCGTCGGTTTCCTCATGTTCATCTACATCATCGTCCCATTGTGTTACTGGAAGTTCAACACATTTGACGCGCGCAAGTTCCCCATCTTCTCCAATCAGCTATTCACTACGACAGGGCACAAGTACGACACCACCAAGATACTGACGCCAGAGTTTGAGCTCAACGTCGCTGCATACGAGAGTTATGGGAAGCTCTATCTCAGTCCTCTTTTTGCGTTGTCGATAGGGTCAGGGTTCGCAAGGTTCACAGCGACCATCATCCATGTTCTCCTCTTCCATGGAAGGTGCGCTTTGAATCTGTAATTTACTCCCTTCTTCGATTCTTTTACAAGACATGAACTGCTTTGTTTCACTTGCTATCAATCTGTAGTGACATCTGGAGGCAAAGCAAGTCTGCCATGAAGTCTGTGAAGTTGGACATCCATGCCAAACTGATGAGGAGATACAATCAAGTTCCTCAGTGGTGGTTCCTTGTTCTACTGGTAGGAAGCATTGCTTTGTCACTTATGATGTCGTTTATATGGAAAGAGGAGGTGCAGCTGCCTTGGTGGGGTATGATATTTGCTTTTGGTTTGGCTTGGATTGTCACACTTCCCATTGGTGTCATTCAAGCAACCACAAATCAGGTATACAAACCTTCACTAAATTCTGGAAATACGGATATCATATTATAATAACCCAATGCATTGTTTACATAGAGACCGTATGCAAATGTGAAAAATACATTTCTCAAGTAGCCGATGAAATCTTTCATATTGCTACATGAATGAATATATGGAAAGCACTCAATTGTAACAAATGCCTTCCTTGTGATGGGTTGCAGCAACCTGGATATGATATCATAGCGCAGTTCATGATTGGATATGTCCTTCCGGGCAAACCTATCGCAAACCTGCTGTTCAAGATATATGGTAGAATCAGCACCATCCATGCCCTTTCCTTCCTTTCAGATTTAAAGCTTGGCCATTACATGAAGATTCCACCTAGGTGCATGTACACAGCTCAGGTGATCCACAAACTGCACTAAAAGAACATTATCAAAGGGATAGCAGTGTCTATATCTGACTTTTTTGGTTTTTCTTTCTGTCAGCTTGTTGGAACTGTTGTTGCTGGAGTCGTGAACCTTGGGGTGGCTTGGTGGATGCTTGAAAGCATTGAGAATATCTGTGATGTTGAATCACTGCACCCTGATAGCCCCTGGACCTGCCCCAAGTATAGAGTTACTTTTGATGCTTCTGTCATATGGGGCCTTATCGGCCCGGGACGCCTATTTGGCCATGGCGGGCTGTATAGGAACCTGGTGTGGTTATTCCTCGTTGGAGCTGTCTTACCTGTTCCGGTGTGGGTATTGAGCAAAATCTTTCCAGAGAAGAAGTGGATCCCTCTCATCAATATACCTGTCATCTCTTATGGCTTTGCTGGAATGCCACCTGCAACCCCAACCAACATAGCTAGCTGGCTCATCACAGGGACCATCTTCAATTACTTTGTTTTCCGGTATCGAAAGGGCTGGTGGCAAAAGTACAACTATGTCTTATCTGCAGCTTTGGATGCAGGGACAGCGTTCATGGGTGTGCTGCTGTTCTTTGCTCTTCAGAATCAGGATCACAATCTGAAGTGGTGGGGCACAGAGCTCGATCACTGCCCTTTGGCATCATGTCCAACCGCACCTGGGATATCGGTTGAAGGATGTCCGGTCTTCTAACTACGAGCTCGAGTATCGGTTCACTCCTGTGAGGGAGTTCACTGTTAGACAAACTCAATCAAGGTCCTTGGATGTGCATTGTCCTTTTAGACTTCTAAAGATGCTTCACAAAGTTTAGCAATGTCAAAAACAAGCTCCAAGAAATGTGAGTTTGAAAGGTATTGAATCAAGCCATATCAAGGTTGTCTTCTGACCTTTCATCAGCTTGTGAGTGACTATACCAGTGTTTGGCATCGCAAATGAAACCCAGATCAGTACACCTTATTCTATACTGTAATGCTTGGTTTGATCCCTTGACTGCTGTTCTCTATTTGGTACAGATGTTTGGCTTTTGACAGTGAAATGTGCTTGGCTTTTGACAATGAAAAGTGCCTACGGCAGCAAAGATTAAAGTCCTCAAGTCCATGATTGTAATGTGCTCAGGTTTTGCATGTCAAATTTGTCCTAAGACTCCCTCCTCAGTTCCTAACCATCCAATAGTGCATAAACCAAGCAAAGGTGTGTAAATGCCTCAAGAAGCTGCAGCAAAGAAGAGCCAAATAAACCATATTAGATCAAGAAAGTGAAAATAATGGACATTGTCATAATTCCTCAACAGTACCTTGAGGATTTCCTTTCTTTTGTTCATTTTATCCAAAGAATGCTCTGAGAATATGACAAAAAAAAATGACATTAGTTAAATAGCAACAAGTGATTGATAGGATATTTCAATGCTTGATCTCAGAATGGTCCAAGCATTAGGAATTTTAGGCCTTTGGAACCTCATCTTTATCATCTCCTTATAAAATGTACAACTACCAAACGAAGGATGGTCAAAATTCTCTGTTCCCTTCATGCATTTCATCCTCCCATAAGCTTTTTTTTTATTTTGTTAATGAAATATCTTCTGTCTCATTGAAGGCATGGGCATTGAATTAAAACATTTGTTCTCAAATAATCAATTAAAAATCCAAATTTCTCTTAGGCCTCTTGCCGATGAGATGAAGAAGAGGTAGCAAAAGCAGATACGCATTCTTTGTTTCTTGTTGACGAGAGACAGAGAGGGAGAGAGAATGCTGGATATGAGAAAGCAAATCGCTCGACGAGATTGGAAGAAATGGATGACAGATGACAGACAAGCGTGCACGGGAAAAACAATTTGAAACCAAATCAACTGTAGGTTATTAATCATATCAACTGGTACAGGCTAAATAAACAACAAAGAACTACTTGAAATCAGCTAGAATCAACTAAAATTGCCCAAATACATCAAACTTTGGAATTTTAAAAGAATTTCAATCATTTATAATTTTAAATATTTACATTCAGCAACTGAAAGCAAAACGATATGTTGAATAGGCACCTTTTTTATCCAAGTTGTTGCATCAACATGAAGGTACACAAGGTTTAGTCATATTATGGTCATCTAGAAATAGGCTTTCTTTTCATCAATTCAGACTCAGAACTATTTCCAAATCATGTACCAGACCTTTTCAAGAAAAGCTATGAGAAGTTACAGAAACACCAAGCGAACCCCCCACCAAATTGTTTTCCATTGAGTGCATGTTGAGCAACAGAGCTCTTCATCCACATGAATCACACTGATATGCTTCAAAATTCAATATGCGTGTGTGCAACAATTAGTACTCCATCCTCCCAACAACATAAGGAGAATAGCAAGCTGCTATAACTATTTGGTTACATGAATCTATTCTCCTGTCATTTAGCTTTTTCGAGGGCAATATCACTAGTCAAACTAAGAGCAACCAGAATTCATCTTCGGACCCACATGAATCTTAAGAGAAATCATGTAGAAGATATACGGACTCGAAAACTTTTACTTATTATCTATCATCAGTGTCCCTACATCAAATTGCACCGAGGTCCTTAAATATAGTAGAATATGCAACCAAAATATTCACATCGTCCAAGATGCCTAGCCACCAACAAATTAAATCCTATAAAGGGTGAAGTCTTCCAAGTAGCAGTTCTAAGTCACAAGTCTACTCTCATGGTCTCACCATTCATGCGTATGATGGAGATTGGAGAGTCTCCAACATTTGCATGTGCCTCTTCTAAAGGAAGCAGACTGTCAGACAGGATGAACTGAGAATGTTGTTTCCTAGGACTCTTAATCCACTATATTTCCACGGATTCCAAATGATACAACAACTAGCTAAAGCAAAATGTACAAGTTAACACCAAACGCAAATCAGGAACAATTAGGTACCTCACCAAGATCTCTGCAAGACGCTGGAGCTGTCCACAGAGAGAGGTGGCCTGCCTCTGGAGGCTTGGGAAGACTAGCGCTGCCGGTTCAGCTAAAAATCCAGCAGCTCCTGCAGCTAAGAATTCATAACATCCAGGAACAGCAGCAACAATGCCTTCATCTCCTCTCTCTGATTCAGGCAAAGATCCTTCAGTTTCGCGACCCATTCAAAGAATAAAAATATTGGTCATGTAAAATAAACAAAAATTCTTCTTGCTGTTAGTTCTATAATAGAAACGGATCCAAATAAAGGCCCAAACGAGATTCAACTTTCATCATAAGTGTAACGCAATAGAAAAGAATAGCAAAGAAGATAGCGGCACTCGAATTACCTAATGCAGATCGATAACACATAATATGGCAGAACATTTACTTCTCGATTATTCTCCTCGATCAGCAACTTACAACTCCGAAACTCCAGCCTTGTACTCCTTGTTTTAAGCGAGAAGCTCCCGCTCGCCGCGAAGCACTATCGGCAGCGTCCAATGTTCGTCTCGACCTCCTTCAGCGTCTGCCCCGTCACACGCCCGTCATTCTATCATGCTGGTTCCAAAGGGGAGAGCGAATCTGCAGAGGCGAAGCGGAGGGAGGACGCCCTGCCCTGGTCGAGGCCATACCATGGGAAGAATAGGGAGGATTGAGTGCTTGCCCCGCCAAGTCTAGGGTTTCAAGCGGAAAGATTTCTAGGGTTCCATCAAAGAAATCGGAGAGGAGAGGCGGGTTACCGTTGGGTGAGAGTTGGTTGCGGTCGGGTGCGGGCCCCTCCCTCTTTCGTTACACAACAACGACGCGGGTAACTGGTTTGAGGTACCGTTAAGCATGGACATCGATTTCTGGAAATTATAATACTTTTTTAAATGAAATATAATAAAATTTCAAGAACATTGGAGAGATTTTTTTTTCTTCATATTTTCAAAAGAGATATAATTCTGAAATATTCTTGACAAGATTATTCGGATAATATTCGTAACATCGATTCATTCATGATGAATTGATCCAATCTACCATGTATAAGATTTTCATGATCCAATCTTATAATGTCTCTATGAAGACATTACAAGATGGATTGATTTAAAATTTAATATAAATTAATTTATATGTAAAGATAAGTGTCCTTATTGGTTTAGAAATTAGAATAATCAAAAGTGAAAGTATATTTGAGAACATTGTTACTAAGAAATAATATCATATTACATTATGGACCGGTCCATCAAATAAAGATGAGAATTACAGTTGTGATTTATTTGAGATTTTATGAAAAATATGATAATAAGAATGCCGATTGAAAAATATATTAAAAAATATATTTCTTGGGAAAATATTTTTTTTTTTTAGAATTCGCTCAAAATCTCCATAGTGTTACACATCATACAAACACTCAATAGAGATTAAAAAACACCCAAACTCTCAACATGAAAGGCACAAATTATTAATGATCAAATATTCATAAAGTCATCATATTATTATTATTATTATTATTGAAAAAGGGAATTGTGACTCTGTCAAAGTGGTACGGTACTGTTGTTATTACAACATTTGTGAATGATCTGTTTTGGTTTATGTGCATTAGTTGAATCGTTGTTATGTGATTATTAATTCTTTGCTAAAAATAATTGTTATGAATATGTGATGAATGTGAGAGGCAAACATAATTGAATCTATGAAATCACTGCTCGCTGATGAAGTCTGTCAATAATTGCTTTTCTTTCTTATTTGGATTCACGAGCACTTTAATGATAGTTATATCATGTATACATGCATTTCTCCTTTCTGTGGAATTATGCAACATTATACAGCTTCTTTTGTTTTCTTCGAAAATAGCGAGTGAACAATGCAGATGGATAATAAACTTTTATTTTGGAGAGATAGTGCATCCAAATTAAACAAAGTTAGTGGTGCATTGACAACATTGCATTAATAACAATATGACGAGAAGAAAATGCTCCCTCCCATTTTGGATTGGATTGGATTGGATTGGAGACACCACCACAAGCATTAAATAGATAATATGCTCATTGGAACAAGAGATGGCTGAATACAATCGCACCACATATCACATGTACATGAATTTAAAGCCATTTACTACCAAAAGCCACGAATCACAACCAAGTAGGGGAATGCTTACAATAATACCATGTATAATATATGTATTATATATATATATATGTTTATGTTTATCGAATTTGAAGATAATAATATTAATTAATGGAAGAAAAAAAATTGCATTTGGTAATTATGTGGTTATGTCACAAAATCATCAATGGTCATGTAAAGACTTCCTGAAGTCTAATATACTTTCTTTCAAATATCCATACATGGCATGGCATGGCATGTATATCCTAAGATATGTATACACTTAATGTTGTCTCCTCCAATTTTATGTCCCAAAAAATATATTACATATAACGAAAGAATCTAAAGATGTGCAATATTTTACACAATTTTCTATTTAATTTGAACGATTAGCTTTATAAACACAATGCGTTACATAGTTTCCTGATTTTATATTTGACCAGAATAAATGGGTCAAACATTTAATTCAAGTCAAAGCGAATGCCAATTTCACTTATTATAAGGACGGCATGAAAAATATACATATTTTGATGGTAAGTTCGCATAAATCGTATTTCTAAAATAACATCCAGAAATAAAAGACTTTTTAGGGGCTATAATTGTGACTAACATTAAATGATATATATATATATATATATATATATATATATATATATATATATATATATATATATATATATATATATA